TCAGAACAGGTAAAACTGGAATCAGCAGTAGGGACTATCAAATCGAATCAAAGACAAAGACATCGACGAGCTCGGAAAATCTTCGTAATCCGAGAAAGAGACTTAAATCCGGTGATTGCGAAAATGCCAGTCATGGAGAAATTGAGGATGTTCGTGGCTCAGGAGCCGGTCGTTGCTGCTTCTTGCTTAATCGGCGGTGTTGGTATGAACCCTAAATTCAATTCTCTATTGATTCGTTCCTCACAGATCGATCGGGATTCTCTTTCTTATCCACGATTTTCTTTGGGGGTTTAACTAGTTTCTGGAAACAATCGTTGAATCTATGGCTAGTTCGCTCTAATTTGGTTTGAGAATATAGAAATGCCTGATCCGAGGGTAATCTCGTTTCTGAATCGCCATTTCTAGGGTTTGTGAAAGAGAATGAGCTTAGGAGTTGGAATTGTGATCTAATCTCAGTTTAATCACTTCAATAGCGAGTTGATTTGGAACGATAGTTGCGGCTTCTTCTTTTTTTTTCCCCATTATCTGTGTTAGTAGCAAAAAGATGCTGTCTTTTTTTTTTTATGGGTCTTACAGCTTTTAGGTAGCAATATTAGGAACTGTGATGATGTTCTTACATTTTTTTCTGATAAGTGTTCTTCCATCGTGTAGGACTCTTTCTGCCTGCCGTTGTGAGACCTATTCTAGATTCACTCGAGGCATCCAAGCAAGTTAAAGCGCCTCCACTTACCGATGTAAGTATTCGAACGAATTCGTTTCTTTTGCTACTTGTACCAACTTCTTAGATAGTTGGAATCCTTCTGTTAGTTCCCATATACTAAAATGTTTCTGGTCCTTTGTCTCGCATGAAACTGTGTTTGTCAATATTCTTGTTGTGAATTCATATGTTTGGATATCCAAGCTCTCTCTCTCTTTTTTTTTTTGCTNTGTGATGTATCTTACACATCATCTCAATGTTTTGCTCCTCCTCACTTTGCTGCCATATTTGGTTTGAGAGTCCCATCTTAGATTCATGTATGACTTTGTGAAAATTCTATGTGTTTCGTCGATTGTCGAAATCAATGGCAAAAGGATTGGACATAACAGAGACTAGTTAGTTAACCCATTGCTTGCTAATAACCCGATTCTTCAATATGCATAGACAAAAGTATTTTATTCAAGATCCACTTTGCTTTTGCAGGTTATTGCTGGTGTCACAGGGAAGAAACAGAGCTAGTCCAAGCAATGATTTACCCTGTTTTCTTACATTCAGATCATCCAGATTCC